ATCTACTAAAAATATTTATCTAGATCTAGAGAAAAAAGATTTAGAAGATACATTAGCCGAAAAAAAAGATGAATTAGTGCAGATGAAAGATAATTTAGTCACAACTCAAAGAGCATTGATAGAGAAAGACACTCTCCTTCAAGAAGCAGTCCTAAATAAAGCTCATTTAGCCGAACAGATCTCAAAAATATCCAGCGAGTCTGAAGTGGCTGGAGGGGTTTTAAAGGGACTAGGTGTTAGTGAACAGGAGAAAGGTAACGATAATACTAGCCCTGAAACCACCTGGGTCTTTATAGAGACCGCTCTTTAATAGTACCTATCAGTAATAAAAAATTTGATACTTACTTTTTTCAGTTTGCGATCTTTCTTATAATACTATTACTAATTATATACCTCCTGTGGTCCATATTCACTCATCTATATTCTTTTATAACACCCCTTAATAAAGAAAATTTTTTTTAAAAATATATAACTCCCTTTAATAAAAATCAGAGATATGAAATTTCAACCCACTATGCGGAAGAATTCGAAGACAGAAATACCTCCTATGAAACTTCGTCTTTTGGATATGGATGAAGTCACAAAACATGAATCATTCCGAAATATTAGCCATCCGGCGATGACATGGCCTTTTAGCATGTTAATTACTGGGAGAAGTGGTACAGGTAAAACTAATTTACTTGCGAATTTTGTTCTTGGTGATTATGTGCAAAGAGGGAAAAAAGGTGGGTCTCGTTATATTAAATGTGATGATCTAATTGTTTGTGGGTATTATCCTGATGAGCCAAATGAAAATATGTGAGATACATATATAATATGATTTCAAAAGACTCAAGAGCACCTTACTATGAGAATATTAGTTTCAGTTACATTCCTCCCGAAAGAATTCCTAGTACAAGAACTTTTTCGCCTGAAAGAAGCAAATTAATTATTATTGAGAATCTATGTTTAGCTCCAGAGCATATACAAAATCGAATTGGTCAGTTTTTTGGGAATAGACGTCACCGAAATATTTTATGTATATATGTAACGCAAAAATATCATAAAGTCGATATATTTATTTGTGAAAACTCAACTCATTTAGTATTATTTAACTCTGGTAGCAGTATTCAAGATGTGTCTAAGATTGTTGGACGATATACTAATGATGTAAAAGGTGTATCCATGGTTATTAATAGCTACCTCCGCAAAGGTGAGTTTGTTGTATTTGATCTCAGTAGGCTAGAGGATGATTCTCTTGCAATTCAACTAAGGTTCGACACTCCATTAAACCTACAGAAGGAAATAGAGGTGAGGCAGAAGTGGAAGGAAAAAAATGCCTCGGCTAATTCATAATTTCAATAATGGATCTATATAAATTTGAATAATGATATTCTCTGTTAATATAAATATTAAAGAAGAATAGCTAGAGAAAAAAAAGAGATTAATTAAATCAGACAAAGCTAAGTGGTAATGGCTAAGAAATCGAAAAATAATCAGCGCAAAGCAATGGGTAAGTTTACTACTTGCCCTACACAGTACATGCCACTATGCAATCCAGATAAATATGAGAACATATATGATCGAGCAACTGACTTTATTACTGTTAAAAATATAAAACAAGATAGAGTCATAGGCGTGTTCGATTACCCTGAATTATGTAAATATCTGGGAGTAGCAAATCCATTAAAAAACGTTCGTGGAATATTTCGACAATTACTGCGCCCTGGTGACATAGTGTCCTACCTCGGCAACTAGAAAAATTGATGTGGTCTCAATAGTTGTTCACCGTTTTCCTAATGCTATTCTTGAGATCACAATTGAGTAATATAATTTATATATTAATATTTACCACTGACTTTTCGCAATTCTTGCTCAAAGTCAGAAAATAAAGTTACTTCACTTCAGTGAAGGCTTGCGAGAAAAAACTGGATCACTATATTTTGTTTTTCGAGCTTGCGAGAAAAACTGATATATGCAAGAAAAAAATAAAAATCTATGAAGTGTATAATAATAATTACTTACATTTTTTTGTTTTCGGCTACAAATTTGAATCGCGATATTCCTTAATATAGGTTAATAAAGAATCTATAACCAGTCAATTCGCACATATTCTGAACTTTTAACAAAGATTACTCTGCCATTGTTGTAATGTTTTTTAATACGGTAATATTCAAAATTCGATAGCCACTTTAATATATAAGACCATCCTGAATATTGGACGATTCTATAGCCCTGCCGATATAATACTATAAAAGCAACTATATATGATACAAGACCTAATCTATTACGTAACTGCTTTCTCTTCTTTTCTGCTCAGATGCTAGAAAGATAATGATCGAATAAAATAGGAGAATTCTGATAATATGCGGCACATCTTTAGCTTAAATTTTTTGGCCAAAATAATCTACATATCAATTATCAGGAATTCTTATACGACGAGGAGTTATACCTAAAAACTTCTACTCGTTAGGAGTATTATCATTTCTCACCATATTTCAAACTCGACTTGCCCATGTCTCGGGTCTCAACTTATAAGTTCTCCAAGCCCGTTGAAGAACTATTATACTGTTAATTATGTGAAGTACAATCCTTTTTTTAACTTCGTTTTTATTTGAATGTTTATAATCATAATAGCTCAAGCCTTTACTGTACATAAAATAATATCTCTCATATATCTTATCAACTATATCAATGCTAAGTGATGATACTCCCCCCTCTTTTTTCATATTCTTTCGTACAGGATTAGAATGCATATTAGTGGTTTCAGT